TTTACAAGCCAAAAACAGTTTAGGGTAATGATTCTAGTCCATTTCAAGCAGCAAAACTCAAAATTCTGCACACAGGGGCTCCTACTCGCCAAGTGCAAGAACCTACTCGACGAGTAGGATGCATTTTCACTTGGACTCGTCGAGTCCCCCATGGACTCGGCGAGTCCACTACACAGTGAACATAAAAATCGATTTTTTTCAAGCATTTGCATGAAGTATCAAGAAAACAAGCTTAGGCTCTGATACCACTGATGGGTTTTGAGAATTCTAACACTCCTATGGTGTACATGCAACCCTAGAAATCTTGGATCTATGTTTTACTAAGATACATGCAAATTTGATTTTGCCAAGGTTCATATCCTAACTAGCAAAGCATGGGGAACTTGAAACATAAAAGCTAGTAGAATAACATACCTTTGTTGTTTCTTGAATTCCTTAAGAACTTTGTGAGCCTAGCACCCCAAATGTGATGCCTCAAATGTCTCACACAACACCACAACTCTTAGAATAACTTGAGAGAAGTACATTATCACTCAAAATCGGCTAGCCCTCCTTGTTCTTATCTATGTGCTGATTTTGCTAGCCTATGGGGTCTTTATATAGTGTGTCACAAGTAGGGTTACACCATGTAAACCCTAATTGACATGGCTTTTCATTTCCTCCATGATCCATGGGTTTTAACCTCCATGGACCATCCATGGAGCACCCTATGGGTTTTAGCCCAATACAATAAACCATGGATCATTAGCCTACTATATAAGAATGGATGATTTACACAATCAACCCCATATATTTAATTAGTCTCTTTTTTATCACAAAATTAATTCCAAATTAATTCTTGATCAACACTAATTAAATAATATGATTTCATATTAATATATTATAACTTATAATATATTAACAAATCATAAGTGTCCTTCTTCTCATTTTGTGTATCCAATTATCATGATGTCATGCAACCCAAATGGACCATGCCAATCGGGTCAAGTACATACCAGAAATAGTTATGGACTTACACACCTTATCCAACAATCATTTCCTCCATGATAACAACAAAAATGAAGGATGGAGAGTCCATCATGGTCCACTTTCAAAATGTGGACCGCTTGCTAAAGTTGAATGTCAATTTTGATGAAGAGTTGGCTATAGACATTATCCTACACTCTTTACCTTCTTGTTATGATCAGTTCCGAATGACTTATCATATGAACAAGGAGGAAGTCACTCTAAGTAAGCTTCAACGCCTTTCGAGAACTGCTGAAAGTAGTTTAAAAGGCAAGTCTGTTGTACCCACTCCTACTGCTGCTGCACCAGTTCTGGCAATTGAACATGGTAAAGGGAAGAAAAAGAAAGCTCCTTCAAAGAATCACAAGGGAAAGTCTCGTGATGGATCCTCTTCTAGTGGGTCCAAAGGTGGTTCTGCTACTCCCTCATCCAATCCAAAGGAATCAGAGTGCTAAAATTGTCATGAAAAAGGGCATTGGAAACGAAGCTGCCCTAAACACTTGTAGGACATTAAGGATGGGAAGATAAAGCCCACCTTCACTGGTATTTACACTATTCAATCTAACAACTCATTACATGCTAGTTCTTGGGTCCTTGATACCGGATGTGGTTTTCACATCTAGTCTGATTTGCAGGGTCTAAAAAGAAGTAGGGATGTGGAGCACGGGCATATGAACTTGATCATGGGGAATAGGAAAGTGTCGTCTGTCACCAAGATTGGAGTTTATTCTTTATTTCTTAGTAATGGGTTTGGGCTAGATTTGAATAATTGTTGCTACTCGTCAGATATGGCGAGAAACATTATTTCTTTTCATGGTTTGAATAAACAAGGTTTTAGATTTTCATTTAACAATGGAATTGGTTTTATTAATGCTTTTTATAATGATAAATTTTATTTTGAAGCATTGCCTTGTAATGGTATATATGAAACTGTGATGGTTGTAGACAACTTAGGAAATAATGTATTGCATATTGATTCGTGCAATGGTCTGGACAAAGCATTCTTGTGGCATTGTCATCTTGGACATGTCAACAAGAAGTGCATAGCCCAACTCCAAAAGGATGGAGTGTTGGAGTCATTTGACTTAAGGTCGGATGACACGTGTGAATCATGTTTGCTTGGAAAGATGACCAAGTCACCTTTCACTAGTACTACTGAAAGAGGCGAGGGTTTGTTGGATCTCAGACACACCGATGTGTGTGGACCCTTCAGATCAGCCACAAGGGATGCTAACCGCTTCTATGTAACCTTTACCTACAATTATTGTAGATATGGATATATCTACTTAATCAAACACAAGTCGGAAACCTTTGAAAAGTTCAAAGTGTTTAAGCAAGAAGTGGAGAATCAATTGGGCAGGAAGATGAAGAGGCTCCGATCCGATCAAGGTGGTGAGTATCTAAGCATTGAGTTCCATGAATATATTAAAGAATGTGGAATTGTTTCTCAATTGACGCCACCTAGGACACTGCAACTTAATGGTGTGGCTGAGAGGCGCAATCGAACCTTGTTGGACATGGTTCATTCCATGATGAGTTGAGCTTTGTTACCTGTCTCATTTTGGGTTTATCCCTTAGTGAATGCCGCCCATATCCTTAATCTAGTCCCAACTAAGAAGGTTGCCAAAACACCTCACTAAATGTGGACAGGGACGGTTCCCTCGTTAGCGCATATCAAGGTTTGGGGTTGCGAGGCTTTCGTAAGACGAGAGACTTACGACAAGATCGAACCTCTTAGTGAGCGTTGTATTTTCATCGGCCACCCACAGAAATCCTTTAAATATTTGTTCTATAGACCTAGTGAGAATATGGTCTTCGTAGTGCATAGGGGTGTATTTCGTGAAAGAGAACTCATATGCCAAGAGGATAGTGGGAGGAAAATTGACCTTGAAGATCTTCAAGAGTTAAGCGATGAAGGAATCTCTAACACTAGCAATAAACCTGAGGATGAGACTCCTGTTGAACCAGTTGATGAGTCCATACCTCTGAGACGTTCTAGTAGAGTTAGTGTTCCACCCGTGTTGTATGGTTTTTATATAACAAGTGAAGGTGATACGTTTATCAGTGATAGCACACTGATAAATTTGGATGAGACTAGCAACTACAAGGAAGCCATGGCGGGCTAAGAGTCTACAAATTGGAAAGAGGCAATTCAGTCCATGTATGACAATCAAGTTTGGAACTTGGTTGACAATGTACCAGGTCGTAAGACGGTCAGGTGCAAGTGGATCTTCAAGAAGAAGACCAACATGGATCGGAAAGTACACACATATAACGCGCTATTGGTTGCGAAGGGCTTTTCTCAAACTCCTGGAGTTGACTATGACGAGACCTTCTCACCAGTAGCGAAGATTAAATCTATAAGGGTTATGCTAGCCATAGCTGCGTTTCATGACTATGAAATATGGCAAATGGATGTCAAAACCGCTTTCCTTAATGGGAAGTTGGCTGAAGATGTTTACATGAGTCAGCAAGAGGGTTTTGTAGATGTGAAGTACCCTAATAGAGTGTGTAAGCTTGAGAAATCCATTTATGGATTAAAGCAAGCATCTCACAAATGGAATCTTTGTTTCGTTGAAAAAGTCGAAAAATTTGGTTTTTCGAGAAGTGAGGATGAGTCCTGCGTATATGTCAAGGCTAGTGGGAGTATAGTTGGCTTTACGGTATTGTATGTGGATGACATACTGCTCCTAGGCAGTGTTGCAAATATCGACCTAGGCAGCCGATTAATCGGCGCTTGGCAGTCCTCTACGGTCAACGTTTATAGCTAATCGGGCTATATAATCGGACGTGGTCAAAGTCGGTCAAAGACGGGTCTAGGCGGCCAAATCGGTCAACAAAAGTCAACGTAATTTTAAAAAAAATTTAAGGGAAAAATTGTCAAAATGTAACAAATGCTTCTAGGGTTGCATTCGTTTTCTCATTGGATGTAGTAAAAAAAAATAGACATTCTGTCTGCCTCTCTGAACCACAAACAAGAACGAACAAAGGGAAATCGATCGCATCTTCTTCTTCCGTTCACCTTCGAATTTAAGTCTCACGTCGTCGTTTTTAGCTCTGGCCCCCGATTCGTCATCTCCTGCAAGCAACGACGTCGCAGTCTCCTTCCAAGCTTCAGTTCACAACTTCAGCTCCTCCCGTCACAAAGTTTCTGGGCTCACGAAGTTTAAAGATTGTAGTTCTTGAAGTTTATCGGTTCCAAAATCAACTCTTCTTCCGACTTCATCTCCTCTCGTCGACACTAATTGAGTTATCCATGTTAGTTTTTACTTCAACTCTTCTTCTGACTTCAACTCTTCTTCGGACTTCTATGTGACAGCTTCTTCTGTTAATAGCAAGCAATTTATCTGTTAACAACAAGGAATTTATCAGTTGGTTAACACTAATTAAGTCTCAATTTATCAGTTGGTTAAGCAGTTTATCGGTAGCATGTTTATTGACCATGGGTTAAATCCCAATGGTGAAATCGATTTGAGATTAGGAAAATAGAATAGCTTTCCAATGATATCAGTATGCGGATATTTATCTGTACAGAAGAAAAAGATGAAGACTTGGGGTCTCTGTGACAACTTCTTAACATGAAATATATTAACAGCTTCTTCTGTGACAGCTTGGGGTATATGATGTCTTCTCTGTGACAGCTTTTGTCAAGTAGTTTTTTTAAATCTGTTAACAGCTTCTTCTGTTAAGAAATTTGGTATTGGTTAATTAAACATTTGTTGAAACTGTTTAACATGAAATCTGTTAAGATACTGAATTTCTGTCAAGTAGTTTTTTTTTAAATCTGTTAAATATGAATATGTTGTGCATTTGTTAAAATTTGTTAAACATGAATCTTTTAATTATTTCTTTTAACACTTTAGCATTAAGGCATTAACATGAATCTATAAGTTCTTTGGTTGATTGATAATCATTTTGTCAAGCATTTATATTATATTTTTTAAGGTGTTAATTTTTTTAATGTGTTAATGTGATGATTTAACAGTTGACAATCAATGACTTCGAATGCTTCGACTACACCTTCTGTGGGATCAACCGCCATCGATACACATAAACGGGACTCGGATGACATTGGTTGGGAATATGGTTTTATCTCGGATAAAAGCAACTTGGATAGATTGAAATGTAAATTGTGTGGAAAAGTGTTTGGCGGAGGGATTACTAGAATGAAACAACATATTGCCCATGTGAAGGGGAATGTATCTTCATGTCCAAGTTCTACAAAAGATGATCATTTAAAATGTCGAAATTCTATTAATGAAGGGAAGTTAAAAAATAAAGCTAAACTTTCACAAGATGAAGCCTTAAGATTTGTGGTGAGACAAGAATTTCATGATAGCGTGGATGGAGTAGAATCTTCTTTCGGGTTGAAAGCACCAAATGTTATAGGCCCCATGGATGGCTATGCAAACAAAATAAACCCCGAAGAAGATTTGAATGCGAGAAAGGGAAAAAATATTATTCTTAACAATATTGTCCAGAAAGAAAGAATATTCACGGTCCATAAATACATTAGTAGGTGGGCGTATGAAAGCGCAATTCCTTTTCATGCCCTTGAAAAGGAAAGCTTTAAAATGATGTTGGAGGTTGTTGGCCAATTTCGAACCAGGCTTCCACCTCCTACTAGATATGATTTAAGTGACACGATTCTAAAGCATGAGGTTGAAAGAACAAAAAGCTTATTGAAAAAAAAAGAACAAGAATGCAAAAAGAGGATGGATGCTCGATTATGACGGATGCTTGGTCTGATCGAAAGAGAACGAGCATTATGAATTTATGTGTTAATTCGAAGATGGGTACTGTTTTTTTATCTTCAAAATAATGTTCCAACGAAGCACATACAAGCCAAAAAATATATGAATATGTGGAGTCTTGCATTCAACAAGTTGGTCATGAGCATGTTGTTCAAATTGTGACCGATAATGCCATGAATAACATGGGGGCGGCAAAGTTGCTAAAAGAGAAAAGACCATCTATTTTTTGGACATCATGTGCGACACATACCATTAACCTTATGCTTGAAGGTACTTACATTATTTTGTTTATTTATTGTATTTATTACTTTATTACTTTATTTTTGTTTTAAAATGTTTAATTTTATACTATAATTTGTTATTTAATCGTGTTTATTTCTTCAAGGTATCGGTGCACTCCCAAGGTTTAAGAAAATTCTAGATCAAGCAAAGAAGCTAACCATCTTCATTTACGCTCACCACAAAACCTTGGCGATGATGAGAAGTTACACCAACAAAAGAGAAATTATCCGACCGGGAGTCACAATATTTGCTTCCGCCTTTCTAACATTACAAAGTTTGGCCGAAAAAAAGGAGCAACGAAAACATATGTTCTCTAGAACCGAATGGGAGGAATGAAAATTTTCTAGTACGCCTAAAGGGATTGCCTCATATAAAACGGTGTCAAGTGTCCAATTTTGGTCCGGTGTGGCACAATGTTTAAAGGTGTTCTCTCCTTTGGTGAAAGTCCTTCAAATGGTTGACGCGGATTGGAAGCCCTCAATGGGTTTTGTTTACGAGGAGATTAAAGTTGCTAAAGAAGAAATTATCACATCATTGGGTGGTAACGAGAAAGCTTACAAGCCTATTATAGATATCAAAAACAAAAAGATGAAAGGTCGTCTAGATTAAAGTTTACATTTAACGTCTTATCTTTTAAATCCGAACTGTCATTATAAGGATCCACAACTCCAATATGATCTCGATATAATGAATGCGGTTATTGATTTTTTTGATACATTACTTTCTGACAATTTTGAGATGCAAAGGCAAGTTGTAACAATTGACTTGCCAAAGTACAAGAAAAAAAATTGATAGATTTGGTTGCAATCTTGCAATTAAAAATTGTAGGGTGAATGATGCCAAGTTTGATCTGGGTAATTCGTTTTACTTTTAGTTATCTATTTTAGTATTTTATAAAATTTAGATATTTATCGATTAAAAATGTGTTTTTGTTTAAAAAATTGTAGCTAGTTGGTGGGGACTATTTGGTGGCACAACTCCTCATTTGACAAAGGTTGCAATGAGGATTCTTTCTTTGACTAGCAGTTCATCCGGTTGTAAAAGACTATTAGGAATTAGTCAAAGTATCTACTTGGACAAGGTGTTGAAATGTTTCAACATGGAGAATTCCAGGAAAGGATAATTGCCTATACAGAGCAATACCAAACTGAGTAAGAGTCAGAGAGTCCTAGTACCCATGCCGAAATAGCATAAATCAGTCGAGTACCATATGCTTCTTTCGTTGGCTCGATCATGTATGCTATGACATGTACTCGCCCAGATGTGGCTTTTGCCTTGAGCATGGTTAGTCGATATCAAGGGAATCCTGGTAGAACTCACTGGACAACAGTAAAGAACATTCTTAAGTACATGCGGAGGAATAAGGACTGGGTCCTTATCCTCGGTGGGAGTGTTGACTTGAGAGTGACAGGTATAGTGACACCAGCTTTCAGACCGACAAAGATAATTTCCGCTCTCAGTCACGCTGGGTATTTACCCTAAGTGGAGGAGCATTAACATTGAAAAGTTCCAAACAGGAGACTGTAGCTGATTCAACATGCGAATCAGAGTACATAGCAGCAAGCGAAGCGTCGAAGGAGGCAATATGGCTCGGAGACCTTGGAGTTGTACCAGCTGTAAAGGAGCATGTGTAGATTTTCTGTGACAACGAGGGTGTGGGCGCCTTAACCAAGGAACCGAGGGATCATGGCAGATCCAGGCATATCGACCTAAAATATCACTTCATAAGAGATCGAGTAGAAGAGGGACTCCTCGTAGTGAAGAGGGTATCGTTAGAGGATAACCCAGAAGATCCCCTTCCGAAGAGACTGAGTAGGGTTAAGCATTTGCAACATGCTAAGAGTATTGGCCTAAGGGGCGATATTAGTTTTAGTGATTAGATAGGCAGTTGGAAACTTGTAATAAATAAACGTAGTTGACATTTGTTGATTAAATAATAAGGGTTTTATTTATAAGTAAAGTTTACTGTCTTTTGTCAATTGTTTATTTTTGTTTCATCTTTTTGGAATGTTTTGACTCTCAGAATAATATGATTATTCAAACTATCCACAGTCGATCATACTTTGGAAGTAGGTTACGAAGTTGGACTGTCATGAATTGGCTGGTAGATTGTCTAAAGTGTTTAAACATAGCAAACTTTTGCTATAACGTTCATGAGTGCTCCTGAAATAAGATTTGAGTATTGGATAAACCCACGCTCACATGAATCACTTCATGGAATTTATCACGGGTGATTGTGAGGCGATAATATCGTATAGTCATAAAACCAAGATATATGAGTTGTTGATTACGAGTTGGTTGTGTATTGATAGTACGAAAATGCATCAGTAACTTGATGTTATAAAACGTGTTGTTGTGTATAATTTAACAAATAATTAGTACAAGCATATAAGCCGAAGTTTATCTGTTCCTTTTATCCTAAGAGGATTAAAAGCGATATCATGGGCCCCTCGATGATTTTGTTTTGACTTATGTGCCGGGCCCGGTCAGGACTCAATTGACGTGTTCAATTAAGTTCTATGTCAAACAAATCATAAATCGGGAAACAAACAGCTGGACAATGAGTATGACTTTATTTCATGTCTTTTTTCACATGATATCCTGTAGAACAGAGGATTATATGATCCCTTATCTAAAGGACGCATGATTGACTAAGTCAGAGCTTGACAGCGGCGTTTGAGAGCTACAATTACTAATCGGATTTTGAAGTTGCATTGGCAGTTATAGTTATTAGACTTATCCAAGTGGGATACTGTTGGATTAGGTGTCTAAGCCCATAACTATAATTGTTATGTACTTGACCCGATAGTAGCATGGTCCTTTTGGATTGCCTTCACTGGAGCAATTTGATAGGATGGTTTTTTGAGAAAGAGGTTATTTGTGATTTATTAATATATTATATGAATAATATATTAATTGAGAAATTATATTATTTAATTGGTATTTATCAAGAATTAGTTTAGTGATCAAAAGAGACTGATTAAATCTACAGGGATTGATTAGGTAAATTAGTAATACTTATAGTTTGGGCTAATGAGCCATGTTGATTAGGGATGGACTAAATCTATGTGAGAGTTCATGAAGATTTAGTCCAAAGGGCCTATCATATGGATTATTGGAATACTTAAAGGCTTAAGTAAATTAGGGTTTTATGTAAGAAACCCTAAGGATTCCACACTATAAATTGAAGCCCTAGCTTTCCCAAAATCGGCCAATCATTTCCAAGGTCAAACCCTATCCGTTTTTGGTGCTTCCTAACCTCTCTCTCAAAAGCCTCCTCTTACTTTTGGTGTTTGTGACTTATTTGAGGTATCAAATTAGAGGTACTAAGCTCTTGAAAGGCCAAGTTCTACAAGCTACAACAAATAGGTATTGATCCAACTTGTTTTATATTGTAAATCTCACAATTGTATGCTAATTAGGCTTCATGCTTTGGATAAATGAAAATTGCATGTATAACTTGAGAAAAGTTAGATCCAAAGCATTAGGGTTATATGTGCACCATAGGATTGTTATAGTGCTCAAAACCCAACAATGTTGCGGGCCTGTGTCATCAATTTTGGTGGGAGCTGGTACTCCTACCTACCTCTTGCGGAGTTCTCTTACAACCACAATTAGCATTCCAGCATTAGTGCTCCGCCTTTTGAGCTTTTGTATGGGCGGAGATGTCATACCCCATTTTGGTATGGCGAGGTTGGTTATAGGGTTATGGGGTGGACCAAAGTGCTCCTTCAGATCACATAGATGATTCAGGAGATCATGCAGAGATTGCAGACTGCTCAGAGTCGGCAGAAGTGCTATGTCGATCGGCGCCGATACGAGTTGGAGTTTCAAGTCGACAACATGGTGTTACTAAATGTGTCACCTTGGAAAGGTGTGATTCACTTCAGGAAGAGGGGGAAGTTGGGTCCCCGGTATATTGGATCATTTCGAGTGATCGCCAGGGTTGGAAAGGTTGCTTATAAATTGGATCTTCCTGAGGAGCTCAGTCAGATTCATAACACTTTCAATGTTTCACAGCTGCGAAAGTGCATGTTGGATAAGGTTGCAGTGGTTTCCTTAGATGATATTCAGGTTGATGAGCTCCTGAACTATATTGAGAAGCTAGTAGCTATACTGGAAAGGAAGGTAAAGGTTTTGAGTAGCAAGGAAGTACCCTTGGTAAAGGTGCGATGGCAGCACCGGAGGGGCTCCGAGTGGACTTGGGAGCCAGAGACTGAGATGCGGGAGCATTATCCAGATTTGTTCACTATAGCAGACTTTGAGGACGAAGTCTAGTTCAAGTATGGGAGAGTTGTAACATCCCAAGATTCAGGTACTTCTAAATTCATCCCTATGGTTTTATCATATGACATTTTAGTCCCTAAGTCCATGAGAATGAACCTTGAAGCCCTAGTGGCAAGATGGTAATTTTGGGACAGGAGGAGTACGCTAAGCATACATGTGGGTACACTAAGCGTACTAGGGTGCGCCCTAGTACGCTGGGCATACTCATGTCCGAGAGAAACCCTAAGTTTTACGGTTTGTGGGGTAGTTAAGCATCTTTATGGCTCATTTACCCCCACCTTTTCACCCTACACTAAGCGTACTAGGGTGCGCCCTAGTGTGCTTAAGGAAGAAGGAATTGCATCATGGAGCTTAGAAGTTGAAGCAAGCTTGTGGATCTTGGATCATTCCCTTCTTAGGAAGCTCCAGAA